ACGGACCGTCCGTTACCGGACGAAACGAAATATATATATATATATATATATATATATTATAAAAAAGCGACGTCACCGAGTCGACGCGACATCACCTTTTATAAGAATATTTATATATAAATATATATAATTATATATATATATATATATATATATATATATATATATAAACGAGACGACGTTGCATTGCCTTTTATAAAAATATTATATATATATATATATATATATATATATATATACGAGACGACGTCGCCCGGCATAGGAGAAGGAAATTGCGACGTCACCTTTTATAAAAAATATATATAAATATATATAATCTTTTATATATATTTATTAATTTATATATATATATAAACGAGGCGACATCGCCCCGCTTGGGAGAAGAGAGAGGTGACGTCATCGAATTAATATATATATATATACCGAGTGAACGTCGAAACTCCGGTATGGTACGAAATTGCATACCTTGCTCTGGATAGCACATATATAGCTCTAAAAAATCCCGTGGATTTTCAGAATATTTAGACAAACATAAAACTAACAAGGCATACCTTGCTCGGCGACATCGCCTTTTCCTTCTCCCACGCCGGGCGACGTCATATATATATATATATATATATATATATATATATATATATAGGGTGACGTCGTCTTTTATAAACGAGGTGACGTCGCCTCGTTTATATATATATATATATATATATATTTATTTATTTATTTATTTATAAAAGGTGACGTTGTCAAGGCGGCGACGTCGCCTTTTATAAGAATATATAAGTATGTATATATGTATATATATATGTATATATGTATATATGAATGTATATATGTGTATATGTATGTATATATGTATATATGTATGTATATATGTATATATATATTTATATGTATATATATATATATACGACGTCGCTTGGCGTGGGAGAAGGAAAAGGCGACGTCGCCTTTTATAAAAATATTATATATATATATACCGAACAGTATACCACTCGGTATACAGTTTCGTACCGTACCGAACGAACATCGAAAACGAACATCGAAACTCTGGCATGGTACGAAATTGCATACCTTGTTCTGGATAGCACATATATAGCTCTAAAAAATCTAGTGGATTTTCAGAATATTTAGACAAACATAAAACTAACAACTACAAAAAGAAGAAAATTTTAGATGGAACAGTTTGTAGTATGTTGCTGCAAAACAACACCGCAGCAGACAAGCTGATAGACAAAAATCAGATCACCCAAGTTTGGGTGACCAAAAGACTAAACCAATATACATTCCATGGACATAGCACCCAAAAAGCTGGTGAATGGTTTCAAAAAGAAATGATCCAGAGAACTCTTTTGAATTTCCAAAAGAATATGATGAAAAATTAAGCTCCCCTACTTTTCCTTAAATCTGAAATGCGATTCTCCAAATTTTCTTGTTTCCTCACCAAACAAAGATGGGGGAATTTGATTTTCCAAACGATAACAGTTCTCCATGAAGTTCTGATAGGGGTGTTTAAACTAGTTCAAACCAAACCGTTAAACGTCGAACCGAACAATTTTTTTGGTTCGGTTGGTTAAAGTAAGATAGTCCGAACCGGAACCAATTCAGATCATCCTAACCGAACCAAGTCAAAACTGATTAATCCGATTCGTTTAACTGATTTATAATTTAAGTAATTCAAAAATATATATTGTTTTAAATGAACCGATTCAGTTCAATTGAACCGAACCGGAATATTGGTCCAATTGAACGACACAATAATATCTATGAAATTGAGCCCACATTATTTTTAAAATTGGGCATTTGGATCGGCTTGATTAATCGGTTTGAACCGATTAAAGGCTGAGGGCAATGAAGTTAATCAGATTGATATCTTTTAAATTAAAATCGATTTGAACCAATTAACGAAACTAAAGAAGGGTATCCTCAAACTGGAACCATTTATATAGCCTTCAAAATCGAACCATTGGTAAATCAATTCAGACAGAACCAATTTTGAACCAGTTTGATTCAGACTCGATTAGGTTCAGTTCGGTTTTCCAATTCAATTTGAATACCCCTACGCTCAGGTACAAAACATATCGTAAATTAAAACTTTCTTTATTAATCAAACATGCCCAAAAATCTTGAAGTGTACACGCATCGACAGCACAAGTACCTCCAAGATAAACAACCAACAGAAATGTTAATCTACCTAGGGAAAACTCCTGATCCCCATCACGAATAGTACAAGAGTCACCTCAAGAATCAAAAGTTTCCGATTCATAAACAAAGAGTTCGACCAAAAGGCGAGAAGAAGCGAAAGAAAGGTACCAGATTGCCATTCTGGGGCTTGGGATCACCGTCGGAAGCAACGGTATCGGAATCTTGGGTCCGCACGAGGCATCTGCTCCTCCGCCGCGGGGAATTGCGAGGGAGAGCGGAAGAAGAGGCGGGGCGAAGCGAGGCAGAGGCGGCGAGAGGCTTCGACGCAAGGAGGGAAGACATGAGCACTCCCATGCTCGCTCACCCCTCTCACGGTACCTACAAGGGGAGAGAGAGTGAGAGAGAAGGAGCCGATTCGACCGGCTGGTATATTAACTCGGGTCCCACGCGACGACGAGATACGGAGAGATAGCTGGATCGACGATTTGACGGTTGAGATGGAACCTGAAATCCCTCGGAGGAAGATTCGAAGTCGAGTTCAATCGAAATGACGCACCACGTGCAGTGCACGCGAGAACCGTCTTGGCTTCCCTCAAAAGGGAGAACAAGATGAGTTTGCTGGTAAGAAGAAGTAGCGTTTCTGTACGGTGCTACTTAATATTTATCTGGCTGATCTGTTTTTTAGACTACTTGATCTAATCGTCCATCTTACAGATAACAGAGGTGAACGAAATGAAAGTTTATGAAGTTACAGTTTTCTACGGTCAACTCTTCAAATTCCCTTATTTTCTTAAACTATATACATATCAAAATTATGACATTTCAAAAGATATCTAATAATGAAACAAATGGCAAAGTAGACATGACCCAATTTTTTAAAGGACATAACCACAAAGATAAACCCAACTGCAGAAAGAACAGTTTTATGCATTCCATCTACCATTACAATCAGAAATCTCTCTTATTTTTGCAAAACAAGCCTTGGTCTAATGGAAAATCCAAATCATCCAATTCTCTATAACACAATCATTCCTCGAGCTATTGCACTAACCGATGTCATATCTGAATTAAGAAGAACATTTGTAAGTGCAATTATGCTATTATATGAAGGAACTGATACCGTCAAATCTAAGATTTGCAGGATGGAAATTAAGGAACTCCAATTGTAAAAAAAACTGTAAAGAGGTCCAAATATAGAAATGGAACTGTTGATCGAGCATAAGCTTCATGTGCCCTGCAGAAAGCATGATCCGACATGGTTTAGGTACACTTTCTGCTAAAATCTTTTCGAGGATATATGATGTGGTTTGCTTACTGGATAAGATCACAACCTTCACTTTCTAATATACGACTTCACCGATTCGACTACCACCTGTATTAATACAGCAAATATTAGGTTATATTACTACAAAAAAAACAAAAAGAAATGTCCTAAATATTCCAAGAATATAATCCAGCATGTTGCAATTCTTGCAGGAGACTAAAGAATTCAGCCTGGAATTTAAGATGTGAAATGCAATTGAAGGTTAGATATACATGTATAGTCAATTAAGATACCATATGGTTCAAAAAGAAAAAGAAAAGCAATAACACCATGTGGCTCTTTTAATAACTTTCAGCTGGCTACTGTAATTCAACTTTTACTCACACCAATAGATTGGCGTGGTGTAAAAGTGCAAGCAGTTAAATCAAGATGAGCTTATATGCATTATACAGTCTGATTTCTATATTCACACCCCATAAATATATTAAGAGAATCATCATCAGGTTGTTGAATAGATTTCCTACCCTGCCATCATATGACAATGATGCAAATACTGAAGGTTCCCGGGTGCTCCATGCAAGACCTACCAAATTTGAAGTTTGTCAATCAGGATTCCTTTTTTTTAATTTAATAATGACAAAATCCTAAATTACCGTATACACTATCTTCATAGTCGGTGTACGAGTTGAGGAGTGAATCTTTTGGTCGCTTTGGTGAGTCAACAGGACTGAGAAAAAAAGATATATAATGAATGACAACCAATTATATAAGATCTTCTTAAAAAACATATGTACCTTTCTGATATTGAATCATCAGCACCAGGAGGATGAGCCAACCACAAGTTGACAGTTGAATCTGTGCCAGCACTCTGTAAGAAACTATTGTCATAAGTGACATAGAAAGAGATTGCACAAACACAAAAACTGTAAATCAATGTGATATCATGGGCACAGAGCACGTGCACTGAAAATAGAGTCATCAATGATGCAGATGTACAAATCCTTGTATCTGCTAATAAGAGAGAGAGAGAGAGAGAGAGAGAGAGAGAGAGACCAAAATCAGCTCGTTGTACTCAGGATTGTGTCTGATGACCCACGTCCTGCCAGAATGAGCAAGTGAACTTTTGGGTAAGCAATACTTTCAACCAGAACAGTCCAAGATGAGAATCTCCCTCACAGCATAAATAATTTAGGATAACAACAATGAAACTAAATATGATAAGTACCAATGTGCATGCCCAGGGAGTTCTTTCACAGGAAACTTAGGTCTTCTAAGGTCCCATAATCGGATCCCAGATACATCTTCTGCAGTGACCTGGAATGTTCACAAGGATGCCACATTAAGAAAACGTATACAAGTGGCAACCAGAAAGAAATTCAATTATATTTGTAATAACTGTGAAAATTTATAACCACATATCTGAAATATAATAAACCAGAAACAAAACATTAACCCTAGCTACTCAAGTTATAACTATAATCGTTAATCCCTGTCACACATGCCAGACCAGTTTCCTGGTTCTCATTGGCAACTAGCCCTGTTGAGTGTTACCATGATGAAATGTTGGACAATGCTATTTAAGAAATGAATTAGAATATAAAAAAATTAAATAGGAATATCATCTATTCCTAGATAGAAAAATATTGAAAATTCAGCAACTCATAGATTAAAAAGGTTCACACTAGAGTAAATAAACTATTAGTTTACGTCATAGGATATAATAAATTACTTTTGATCCAGAACGATATTTGCTTTCGCTATTTGTTAAATAAATAGACATCAGTTGTCATGATCAACCAGCTCAAAATATATGTCGTCAAAGGAAAAACAGTTAGTATGAGAACTGCTATGGATGGCACACATTCAACAGCAAGATGTCCATACATGCTTAAAACTTTATTGGCAAGTGATGGAAAGGCTGTTGAATTGCTTAAGTTAAAACCAGGGAGCACATGTGAGGCTTGCAGATAACAGATACTACAGGATAAACAGATCTATAAAAGGACACTAAAGCATGAAATACAGTTCAAATTCAAGTTTAAATTACAAGAATGGGAAGTGTGGAACTCATAATAACTCTACCAAGTAGACCTAGATGTAAATTTCCACACAAGCATAAGTTCTTCTGATGAAATTCTGTAAAAATAATTGTAGAATATATACAAACTTAAGACATGACAATACTGGTCAATCTTTTTCACCAAGACTCCAATAAGAAATTTTCCAAATACCTAAATAGTAATCTGATATTTTTTTATATCATCAAGGTTCATTTCATCAAGAATACATGCAGAAAATGCTCAGGACAGACTCAATAAAACATCATTAGTTCATGAAAAAGTGAGCAATATAAGCAGGTTAGGCTGGCCCATTCAACCAGCATCCAGCAAGGCATCACACAAGAAAATATGGGTTCACCTTCACTACCAAAGTTGCAGTAGCTTTGGTCAGGTCACCTATATCATTTTACAAGAAGATTGACAAGTTGGATAGGACCTGTTTTTCCTCTTCACAAAACTAGCTAAGATGGCCCACGAGGTGATCTAATAAGACCAGCTTGAGCTGATAATGGCCCATCCATTTGCAAACCTACTTCAAGGGCACAATAGTGATCTTAGAGGGAAAGATACAGAATTGGTGGGTGCTAATCAACACTTAACAGGATGAAGTCACAAAATTGCTATACAACCATAAAAAGATCCTCGGTTAAATATTGTTTGTTGCAAAATTATTCTATACAGGATGAAGTCACAAAATTGCAGAATCGGTGGGTGCTAATCAACACTTAACAGGATGAAGTCACAAAATTGCTATACAACCATAAAAAAGGTCTTCAGTTAAATTGCTATACAACCATGGAAAAAGATACAGACTGGCATTTTACCAAGAATGAAAAAGGTCATCGGTTAAATATTGTCTCACAAAATATTACCAAGAAATCTACATTCTCAACTATTTATAAACGAGAAAAAATATTTTTAACTTGCATGGCTAGAAAATCTAACTGATAACTGCACTTACAAGTAAATGCTGCTTTTTAGGATTGTACTCAACATCCCTAGCATGTGCTTGCTCAATTGAAGAAGTCTTCCTGGAAAAGTCATACACATGGATATGTCAGCCTAAAAGCGAATTCATTTCAATAAAAATAACCGCATGATAGATTATAAACATGCACAATACTAGACACAAACCACAGAGAATTGAGAAGACTATCAAATGAGAAGAAAATGGTCCATGAGTTTGTAAAAGAAAAACCATAACCAGACATAAAAATATCATTAGGGCAGTTTTATCCATGTAAACATATTTTATATTGGCACAAGCACCAGCAGAATATAGCATGGTCAGCATATATGCATATAAGCCACCAGCTGTGTGAGGCATTGTATGTCAAAAGAATTAAAAATAAATGTGCATGGAAACCACCAAGCACAAAGTTTGTGTTTTACCTCAAGAGACTCATAAGAGGGCCAAACAACATAGATCGATTTGAATGGTTACTTAGGTAAGCTCTTAAAGACATCTATTGCATTACCTTTTTACAAAATCAGTCTAGACTGACATGCATAAATGAAGAAAATTTTGATTGACATTATCCTAAAATACTAAATTTTTTGTATAATGTTTTTTGACTTGGTACTTATTGTTCACATCCTACCTGGAAATTAAGTAACAAATAACAACAGATCAAGCCAACCAGAAAGCATCGAAAAGGAAAATGGCTGCAGGAAAAGTGCTAGAGTGTAGTGTATAAATCACCTACAAAGGCTAACTAGAATGTGCCTCGAGATCTCACTAAGGTTTCTCTTTGGACTATATACTGCTCTGGAAAGAATGACTTGCATGAAATACTAAATTAACGAATTGAGAAATCAGCATACTTCATTGTTCGAAGATCCCAGAATTCTAGTGATGAGTCACATATACCAGCAACAGCATTTCGATCATGAGGGTCCCATGCTCCACCTGATAGGTTATGAAGCATGCCAACAGATTCTTGTGATATCACCTACATTTTCCAATGTGTAAGAATCAACACAGGCAAAGAAAGCATCAAGTCAGACGCAGACATTCTTATTAAAATATGAAATCCTATTAATCGATACCCATTTTGCTTCTATATTTCATGATATTGGAAGGTAAGCTTAACATAGAAAAGATATATTGTAAGGTAAGCTTAACCAACAAAATTAAGGAAAAGCTGATGCTTATGATATTAAAAATGCACTTCAAGCTATTGATAACTATGAGAAAAGCTATGCATCAAGGAATATGTAACATATGTTGTTTGTCTAAAATTCTAAAAAGTCTTCTGTCTTCAACATTATGCATTTAGAGAGCTTACCGAAAAAACTACAAAAATAAAATGTACAAAATAAGTTATCAATGGTCGTAAAGAATCCTAAAGGTATAAAAACTAACAAGTAATTTGAAATTACATAAAATTTAAGTAGTGCTAATTATGCATATTAAGTAAGAAGAAAGCTGAACTCACAAGAATGTAGGGTAGACAAAGCCAGCCAGCACAAAGCGTGCATCAGAAAGTAGCCATAGGCGCAACAAATAGTAAGTACATGTTTGTAGGATCAACTGATACTGATCTTGATCCAATAAGGAAAAGAGGGATCAGAATGAGTGAAATTCAATCTTGAAAGCATCAAATTTGTAAATGAGTACTTGACAACTTAATGATCTGTACTTTTTCCCCTTCTCTTCCTGCCGCAGCAGTTCAAATGCTAGGGAATTGTGCCTTCGACAGTTTCATATCATAATCCCCACATATTTCCACATCTAAATTGCTAGATCATGATTTAGAATCAGAAACACCAAGCATTGATGTTGCTTTCAGCTACTAAGATCTAGCTGACTTCAGTGCATAATGTTTCCGACAGCAGAATTACGAGAGATGCTAGTATTACTAGATCTTACCCCCACACACAAACAAAATGCTTGCCACAAACATGAAAATTTTTTATAAGCCAAGAAATAGGATGCTCAGTAATCGCTAAACCTTAAATCGAACCCTAGATGATGAGACAATAGCCATTGCGTGATTACAAAGGATTTCAAAGGAACCACCATCATTAAGTGAACAAAATCTGACATGAAAATCAAAATTAAGGAAACATAATACTCCATATGATAAATTGGTAAAAACCAAATTGGATAATACCTTATACATCAACATCTAATTTAACACATAAATAGTAAAGCATTAGGAATTTTAAGATAATACTACTTTCAAACTTAACAAATTGAAATAAACCAGAGAAACAAACTAGTAATATGAATGTTCAAAAAACCAGGGGAATTATATTGCAATTTTATTTTTAATGTAACAACAGCTATGTCCACGAGATTATAACTTGAATAAAATCAAAGTCATTTGAGGAGTTTACCTTGGCCATCTTGTTTGACGCATCTATGCTCCAAAGAAAAAGATTTCCCTCGTCAATGCTAATTAGTTTATCATACTTCCCCGACGGCCACCAAAGAACACTGTTACAAGCATCTCGTTGATAACTTATGATAAAATCATATTACCAAGTACCCATTTTATTTTAAATCAACAATGAGAAGAATTTAAAGGCATCAATAGCTAGGAGGGTAGAACCAAGGACCAAATGTCTCCTATGTATCCTACCATGTCAAAACCAACAAGCTTAAATTAGACCAATAATTTTTAATTTTGTGGCCCCAACAGACCGTAAAGCTTACCAACAAGTCAAGATAGGGCACAGTTGGAACCAAGTTGGTTTCTTTTAATTTTACAGGAATATAGTTCTATGCATCACCAGCCCAAAGATGTGTTGTTCAATTTGGCACCATAGGGGCCTAGGCATCTAAATGGAAGATCAACTCTATTTTCCTTTGCCTGATTAAAATCAAACATCAGGATAGCATTGCTCCTTCAGAACCTAGATGTCTTTAACACAAAAGGACATAATCAATCAATATATGTCGAAACCTCAAACAAGGAAGAATTAGTTTCAAATATTAGTAACCACAAATATTTTGAAGCCAAAAATATATGCTGTGTGCAGCAAGGAAGCAAGAATCTCTTGTTTCTCCTTTTCTAATTCATAACAACAAATCAAACTTCTTCCGGCATCTGGTTTTCCATTTGGAACATTTCAATTAACGAAGCAACAGTCAAAACTAGAGTTGTCTAAGCAATTCTCCTTTATCATACTCCATTATGTGAGAGGGTCATCAGAAATGTATTAAAGTACTAAGGTACCGGAATTAGATGGATAGCTGTAAAATATGTTCACCTTGATAATTGAAGCAAAAAAATCAGCATAAGGATCATATTAGTTTAAAATTATATTAACTAAAGCAAAACCAAGTAACAAGTTCTCAATAGAGGAGAAAGTTCTTTCAATCAATTTCATAATGTTGCACATGAGTCTCAAATCGAAATCTTTGAAACGATAAAATCATCCATTAAGTCTATCCCAGCTTTTTTAGTAAAGCTAGCAAGACATAATCCCTACTACTACACTTTCTCCAGATGTGAGGTAGTCTATCTCTTCAATCTAACAAACATAGACACGAAGACCCAAAAATCCAAAGCATAAGTTAAGCCCATGATCTTTATTATGTTCCTGAATGTGTTTGTTCTTTTATTGTTTGCATGACTTTATAAGGTAGGATCCAAACAATGATGAGAGCAAATGAAACCACTACTGTCAGAGAAAGCAGATGTATGAACTGCAGAGACTATGAAACAAAGACAAATGAACTTACCATTTAATCTTGAAAGAATGCTCATTGAGGGAGACAAGTTGTTCTAGTTGCGGGGCATTTGACTGACCATTGAGCTCAGGAATTTGCCAAACTGATGCTCCATATGTTTCACCTTCACTCAAATTAAAAACTTATTAGTTTTTCCATAAATAAAGCTGCATTGATTTCTTATATGCCTATAACTTTTACAGCACTTTGCTTATAACTATATGATTAAAATATAGGAGAAGCTGATGCAACTTTTTGAGATGCCGACAGAGACAAATGCCGACAATACTACTTTCCATGTTTTCCCAATAGATATTTCTTCAAAAAAACGACATGCAATCACCCCTTAATTTAATTTACTGGTGCAATGTATGAGTTAGAGTCACATCACTGGAAGAGGCTGCAAATTTATCCTTCTACTTTCTTTCAGACAAGAATGATTGAATTTCCGCCATTCATGCGCATCATTTTCCTCTTACTTCTCATGAGTACCCAACCAAAAGAATGCAATCAATACACTTTCTGCTGTACCTCACATATCTAAACAATGAACCACATCAAGGCAAAAGATCCAATACTGTCATTGGAGAGGAAAATGAATCTCCACATCAAAACCCACATCGAATTACATGAATCCGGCAATATCACCTAGTAATTACACAGTTCTCAAGAACACACTGCCGCACATCTACTTCCAGATCAAGTTACTACGAGTGCAATGGATCGATTGCTCACCCAAAGTAAACACCGTGGAGAAGATTCTGGGGTTAAAGGGGCAAGATTTGAGGTCCCAGATCTCGTTTGGGTGGTAGAAGAGCCCCTCGCAGACGAGCTCCGATCCCGGCGGCGACAGCCGGATCAGATGTACCTGACAAGACGAACTACAAACAAATCATAAAGGAACGTGAAGATCGACGAGGAGGGCGAGGGGAGTATAGAGCGAGAGCGGAAGGGAGTTGAGTGATCGGGAGGAGGAGCGACCTCGTTCTCTTCTTTGAGACTGAGGGTTCCGGCGAGGAAACTGGTGTGGTCGGTGTCGGCCTTGACGTCGGCGATGCATCTCGCCTGGATAAGACAGAGGAGCGATGTCTAAACAAGAATCGAATTGGGTGAACGTAGTTAGTTCTCATCGGTGCTCACCTGGTATTTGAGGCCGCCGTAGACGATGCCGGTGGACGCTCCCCGCATTGTCCCCCGGCGACAGAGGAAGACGGCGGTTAGCTGCTGGTTATGTAAGACGACGGAGCGCTTCACCGTCTGCGTGAGGGGGAAAGAGCTGGGGATTCTTCTTCCTCTAGAGGTTGGACTTTGGTCTACATCGAAGCGTAAAGCCGGATGGACGGTTGTGATCGATGGAGGACGGAGCAGATCTTGATCCAGCATTTTATTTGTTTAAATAATCCCTTATTTTAAAAATATATAAATTACATCTCAAATTTGTTTTCATTTGTTACAATGTTTTTATTTATTACAATGTTCTGATTACCATAATAAAAATATTATAAGACCTACTTGAAAACATTATAAATGACATAAATAAACTCATAATCTTAATCAAATTAACTATAGACCTAAAAAATAATATTATAATGATCTATATGAGCATTGATGATAAAAAAACACACAATATGACATCGAAAATTGTAAATGCTATTTTTTAATAGCATTACAATGTTTCCAGAACCTCAATAAATCACTTAAACGTTATTGAAAAATACTATAAATAAGTCAAATGAAAGCATTATAATAGTTAAAATTAGTAAAAAAATGAGTAAAATAACTTTTGAGAGATATTTTAGGCACTTTTAAATTAGGCATACTGTCTGAAAAAAAATAAAATATAAATATTTTCTAAAAAATCGTTAATATATATCTATGAAAAAAATATTATCCACGATAATAACTTGATTGATGACTTGAGAACCACGAATGGATACAGATTCAATAAATATTTTTATATTCTCTTTCATAATAAATATTTTATATATTTTTTTATAAAAATCCTCAAGAAAATTTTTATATATTCTATCAACGATTGTCGGATGCACTTGGGAAAAACTCAAAGCACTAAATGTATGCTCCTCACTAAAATCTATAAATTAAATTATAATTTCTATAGTTTCTCTCTGTAACAAAGAAATTATTTCTATAATGAGATTCCTTATCCCCTCAACATATTTTCAAAATTTAAAAAATATTTGTGAACCATAAAAAATAATGATAATTGTGCTGGAGTGACAATTTTACCTATTTGATATTTAAGGGAACATGTATGTTTGAAGTTTGTGCCAGAATGAATATAATTATTTGATAGCTATATGCTTATATACTGAATTATATCTCTCGAAGAATTATGCTATTTTAGATGACTGCACATTAGGAATGGAGATGCATGCCAAGATTAGCTAGAGGCATTGCTTGCATTTAAATTTAAGTAATAAATAATAATAATAATAATAATAATTAAAATGAGTTAAAATGGACTTGTTGATTTTTTCTATGATCACTAGAATGATCGCCTTTTCCCTTTATCACTTTAATGTTGATAGCAGCTAAGATTTTCTTAACTATCCAAAGAAATATCGTTGTTCTGTTGAGGAAAATTCTTCCTCCTAGCCTATATAAATAGGAAAAATGAAACATATCTTCATGATTTATTCTTTCATGGTATAAGAAGAGCAGTGAGCAAGACTCTCACTCCTCTCAATAAACACCAGTCATCTTATCTGTTGGTGGATCCCTTCTCTCGATGGTCTTTCACGTTTCTTCCTTTCCCTTAGCAATCAATCATCCAATATCCTTTGTTGTAGTCGCTCACCAGCTTCCAACTAGCCTCCTCCTCCCTCCTCTAAATCAAGGCAGATGGAGACATTTTTCGTGTGTGGATTCGATCACCCTACTTCATCTGATTTGCCATTATTACTCATAAATCGAATCCCTTCCTTGTTGGTTCTCGCTCAGGCTGTTGGTCTATCTTGTCTTCCTCTTGAGTGTTGGTAACACCACTACGTTTCGCCAAGATCAGTTCTTCTTCCTCATCGACTGCCACATTCGCATGGACATTCTCCCCGACTCTCATCGGACGCATCCTACCACATCTTGCCACTGAACACTATGCTATCCGGTACTATAACGAAGCTGTAGTGGTTCCCTACCCAGTATTGCGACGAAGCAACTTATCTTATCCCATCACACCCTAATGCTCCCTCCTCCTCCTCGTCTGATCTGCAAAAGCGGTTGCCCCTCTTCTTCATCGACGAGAAGCCTTTCCCAGCAAATCTGCACCTTTTCTTATGATGGTTGTGATCTATTGATCATGGGTCGTTCTCTTCTTCATAATCGTTGCTGCTGATTCCCGATCACTACCACATTGCTAGGGGGCAGCCATCCTCGCCAAGTGATCGCTGACCTACCTCATCGGCCTTGGCATCAACTTCTTCTACTCTGTTTCCATTGTGCCTCTTCTACATTCATCACCCTTAACTACAACATAAGTTGTAGGAGGTATTGGACCTCTTCTACTAACACCAACTCTTCCTCTGCCTTTAGTTCTCCTACACCAGCAGATTTCATAATTAACGAATGTCATCACATCCACACCGTCGGGCTGCCCATAGCAATAGCAATCTACAGTGGACTTCATGCCATCATTACCGCCTATTGCCAACCGTTGCCTCACCATCAACTGTCATAAACATCGCTCGTAGCAGAAGCTGCTCTTGTGACACCCCAATTAGTCCCATATTGGAAGTGGGCAAAGACTAAGTTTAGCTTATAAGGGTTGGATGAGTGTATTATTTTATGTTTATGACATGACATGCATATTTTTTACTTATTATTTATTTGATATTTTTTTCACTTTATATTATCTATTGTATGTATTATGATGTCCATGAATCAGTGCAATGAGAATTAGATTATGATGAGATCACAATAGTGAGACTGATTCACCTTTAAACACAGACCTTAAATAATCCCGATCATAGGTAACTCAAGAGAGATATCGAGATGACTGGATAGATACTGTATACCCATCTATATGATAGAGGTAGCTAGTCTTATAGCTGCTCATTTGGGGACACTAGAGCTTCGGTGTATGTGCCCATTGGAAAATGAGTTCAGTGATTGATCCACTTACGGAATGCTTGATGATTGATGATACGTCATTGTTAGATAGCGATTCTATTGTTATATTGGTATATATGATCCTTAGACTTGAGACACCAATGAATGACTATAGTAGCAATAATTGATAGAGAATCATCCACTCTCGGTATTATAAGAGGAATATTTCATGTGTTTTTGCTCAGGCAAATCCCTAGCTAGGGTCATTCGAATTTTAAGAAAAAGAGTTCTCCGGGAGAATTTAATTAGAGTGAAACTTGAGTAGAAACTATATGACCATGACAACACCATGCCCAGTATGCAGTCTTTGGGATATTAAATAGATGAGGGATTATAAATATATGATAACTAAGGATAGATAGACCCAATAGATTAGATTCTCATGTATCGTTTGGGATTACAACGTAAGTGGCCTAGTACGTCCGTAGTCAATAAGTCAAGTGAATTATTGTCGAGATAATAATTCACTAAGCTAAAAGGAGTTTTGATAGGTATGACTCATACGCAGCTCGATATTGAGCCTAGCACACACACATGGTAGGTGTTACGACGAGTAGAGGTTTGGATATAAGATATCCGATATAGCCCCTATCTTATTGGATATCCAATAAGCCACTAAATTATTATATCATTTAGATGAGATCTAATAAATGTCAATGAGAGATTATTGGGTAGAGATCCACTAATCTAATATGCTTGAGTAGTTGGATAAAGATCTAGTACCCAATAGGGTAGGATCCATTATGGTTAAGTTAACAAAAGACTCTATAAATATGAGGGATCTAAAAGGCCATAAGTAAAGCCTTTTTAGCTACCATATTCTATTCTCCTCTTCTCTTCTCATCTTTAGCCAGCAACCCCTATTTGGGGCATGTGAAGATTTAAGTAGTGATTTGATGAGTGTCTTCGCAACCCCTACCGAGAGGATCACTACTAGAGAGTATGACACTTGACCTCTTTCATCCTCTCTCACATATTTGTAAGCTTTCAAGGATATACAATCTTCCTATGTAATAGATCTTTTTTATATGCATAGTTTTCAATTTGGTGACTTTTGTGCATCAATCTTCATACAATGATAAGAGACTATTTTTTAAAAAAATTTAGGATTTTTTGTTTCTGTTCTTTCGCTATGCATGTAATGTTACCCTAGATTTCTCAACAAGCAAATAAACTATTTAAATATGATCAAAATAGGTTTCCTAAAATTATGAGAAAAATATTTTGATGACATGAGTTACACTATTTTTTAATAAGTTTATATTACCTTAGGGTTCTATTAAAAAATAGTCTAACCCTTTTAAAAAATAGCACAATTCACCTCTTACTTTTTTTCAAAAGTTTTCAAATTTGAAAAAGCCATGGAAATGGCTTTCAAATATCTAAATGGTATTTTTTATATTTTTAACACTTTTAAAATAAGTATTTTACTGATTTCAATCGTTGAGTGACACAAATTCAACATTTTCAATAAGTGAAAAAACCTATTTAAGACTTAAAATATGAACAAATGATGATTTAGGTCTTTGTAAGTCTTTTTGAGGTTTTATTTAAAATTAAAAACTTATAGAATATATTATTATATATTTAATATATAAATAAAATTATTATGTTATATTTTACTTTCAATTCAATATTATGATTTTTATTTTTTTATTTTTAAATATTTTGTTTTTAAGTCAAATAAATTTTTATAGTAATTTTATTCATATATATATATTAATATTATTTATTTTTGGATATTTTCTTTTTGTAATGGTCCAACTTTTGGATTAGTTAATCTATTTAATCAAATTATTTTATTCAATTGAATATGTTTGAAAAGAGCAAGATAGGCACTTTATCATTTTGAATAATAGAAGTTTCAAAGGAAAAAAATTAATATTAGGACACTAAGCGGAAAAGGAAACAAAGACAAAGGTCTTTTTAGAAAAATTGCCCTTTATGTAAACTAGTTAGTCCTTGAACCTTTTTTTTCAATTGAAATTAAGGATTCCTTCTCACTCTAAAATTCCTAATCATATCTCCCTCTATATTACTCTTCCACATATAACGAAGAGTCGCAGTCCTTCAAGTCTTCCACCATTATAATGGTTGAGACGCTCAAGAACACCTGTAGCGTTGACCTTGTTGGTCCAAAGAAGCTCAGAAACAGGAGTTGTCCCCTTCCAGATGACG